GTGTGCTTGCAGTCTCAGTAGACTTGCGATGTGTTACTGTGATGATGCAGAGTGTGGTGGAAGGTGAAGAATAAGACAACGGAAGACAGGTGATGCTAAAATGAACATTTATAATGACTGCTGTTGCTGTCGCAAAATAAGAATCCTTAAAAAAAGACCTCATATATATTAGCACTAGATTGCCCACTTCACTGGTAATCCACAAGTCAAGAAACACAACTCACTAGGATTTTTTTTCTCTTTACAAACACAATGCTACAATTACATTAAATATTCAATACTCTTTAAGTCAGTTAATGAATGTTGTTAAAAGCAAACACTAAAATACTAAAAAATAAAAACAAAACAATACTAATATTAATTCACCTTTTTCCAGTCGTTCCCTTTTTCTCGTTGTTATTTATTAATAGTATAATAATAATAATAATAGTCTGAGAAATAAATAGCTCATGTGGTGTTCTCAGGGCGATGGGGCAGGCAGCATAAATCAAGAGTGGAGCTCAGAGCGATTCGGTGAAATAATGGAGTCTAATCTCGCGCCGTCACTTTAATACTTTCAACATGTCTCTGATGTGCAGCGGGATAGGGGGGTGTTCGAATTTCCCCTGCAGAGGTTAATCATCTATAAACTAGCATTCTATGGTATGTAAACTAGGACTGTATTGCACAAAAGTTAGCAGCTCAGCTTCCTCACTCTGTAGCCCAGGAGGAGCATTTTTATTTTTTTGTTCTGTCTCCCTCCCTGTTTTTTTTTTCCAACTTGGAGGAGCCGAGTTTTCCTCGATGATATGTCTCTAACACGACCAAGCATTTTTTAATAACTCGATGATAAAACTAGCGCCACTACAACTCACTGTTAGGAAAACACCAACAAATGTACGAAAACAAGCCTACGTTGAGAATGTCTCGGACTACTTCTCAAGGTCAGAATTCTTCTTCTATGAGCACAGGTATCTAAAGCTAACCAACATGGAAGCTAAACAGCGAATACAGTAGGTAAATCAACACTAATAACAACAGCACAGGTTAACACAGTAGAAGTAGCATAGCCGATTATACAGGCAGACCTAACTAGCCGATATGGAGTATGGAGAGTGATCGTCTACCGCGTCCACTAGTAACTCTTTATGCTGCCGGCCCCTTTCTGCTCAACACTTCTCTCTTTACAGCTCGGCAAAAAATCTGACAAAAATATTTACAATGAGAGAGAAACAAAATGAAATTGTGGAGAAACAGTTGTTTAGTGTCTTTTTTTTTCTTTTTTTTGTTTGTCTGCACTTCTTTTTAGAATGTTTTTCTTCCTTTCATATGTTTTTTTTTGTTGTTTTTCGACTTATATCTCAGAGAATTGTCCCCAATGATGAGCAACAAACAAACAAACAAAAAAAATCCAATCATATCAGCTAGCATTGCACAGTCTCAGAGAGGTTTTTGGGGATGGAATGGAGAGTTATCGTCCAAACAGTTGGATGAACACAGAAGGGAGGAGGAGGAAGAAGGTCAATAAAGTTCATGAGGGGGGTGAAAGTTCAAAAAAGTTCAAGAAGACAGAGGATGGCTGCGCAGCTGGCGGTGCGTAAACACTCCTGCGTGTGTCGGCGTGCGTGGTTTGGATGTTAAACGACAAAAAAAATCATCATTAGAAAAAATGGAGTTTTTGAATCTTTCCCATCGAGAAAAATCAAATGGAGCGAGATAGAAAGAGAGAAAAGGTGAGGGGTAGAGAGAAGGGGGGAGGGGGGTGAGGAGAGGGAGAGGTGCCCCCAACACTATGGCACACAATCAATGGAGTCCCAAAGGCTGAAGAGATGACAGAATTAGGAAAGCAGCTGGCATGAGCGGTGGGGCTTTTTTTTAAAGGTAGGTTGAGAGGCAGGACAGCAGGTAGGTAGCCAACCTGCAGGGGGTTAATCCTTGTCGGGGTTTAGCTCTGTGGGGGGTGGTGAGGAGGAGGAGTAGGAGGAGGAGGAGGAGTGGTTGTGGTGGTGGGGGGGCAAGGTGCTGTTCAGTTGAGGCGTCATGAGCGACATCATGTTATGAGGGCGGAGCATGCTGGCTTCATGGGTGCTTCCAGGATGGATGTCCGACACACAAGAACAACTCAAAGAAACGCTTGGAATGGTAGTTGTTGTTGTTGTCTTTTTTTTTGTTTTTTTTCCCCCTCTGTTTTCTATTTTGGCACTCGAGAGAAGAGACTCGTGGGAGGCGGAGGAGGAAAGTGTGTGTATGTTTGGGCAGAAAGAAGGAGGAGTGGGCAGTGAAAGTGCAAAAAGAGGGCATGGAAGAGTATGTGTGTGAGTGTGTGTGTATGTATGAATGTGTGTGTGTGTGTGTGTGTGTGTGTGTGTGTGTGTGTGTGTGTGTGTGTGTGTGTGTGTGTGTGTGTGTGTGTGTGTGTGTGTGTGTGTGTGTGTGTGTGTGTGTGTGTGTGTGTGTGTGTGTGTGTGTGTGTGTGTGTGTGTGTGTGTGTGTGTGTGTGTGTGTGTGTGTGTGTGTGTGTGTGTGTGTGTGTGTGTGTGTGTGTGTGTGTGTGTGTGTGTGTGTGTTGTGTAGGGGTAAACAGGCTACACACAGAAATGGCATTTTGTAAAAAACTGGTCTAGGTTAGACAGAGCATACAGTACAAATCAAAACCAGGAAGAAAAAAAAATCAACACTGAGAAGAAGGAACAGAAAAACAGTGATATGACAAATGCAGTCTACAGTTGCTGGTGCTTCGATGGGGCCCGAGATTTTGGGTGGAAAGGGGGGTGAAAAAGGGGCGGGGAGGGGTCCCATAATATGTCTTGGAAGAGGTGGGTGGGTGTGGGTGAGAGTGGGTTTGTGGAGGTGGCAGTGGAGGGGAGGGGGCAAAAAGAAACTGAGGACTATGTCAAAGAGCCACACCCACTGAGAAGCCATGAGGTCAGGTGGGAGTTAAGTTTGCATTCCTCTACACATCACAATAAAAAAGCAGAGCCGACTACGTCGCAGAACACACACACACACACACACACACACACACACACACACACACACACACACACACACACACACACACACACACACACACACACACACACACACACACACACACACACACACACACACACACACACACACACACACCACAAGCCTAAAGCAGACAGAGAAAGGAAGAGAGAGAGGAGCATGCACATCTAAATACACTGCTGCATAAACACCAAGAGTAACATCTACAGTAGTCTCGCACACACACCCCCACCTGCTCGGCCTGCCATGCACACTAACAGCAGGGAGTTTAGTGCAAACATTTCGCTGGGAGCAGGATTCTTTGTGGGAAGTTTTCTGCTGAAAATACTGACTTAAATTAAATGTATTTAGCTACACATTTCAAACAGCTGTATTTCATTAGTTGAAAGCAATAATATTAAGTTGAACCTATCATTTTTCATTTCAGCTTAATATTATTGCTTTCAATGAACCTAATACAGTTGTGTGAAATCTGTTGATGAAATACATTTAATTGAAGCCAACGTTTCAAATACTGGTTGCATAATAAGGAATTAGATTGCGCTATTTGGCTTCTTTTTTTCCCACATTGAATCCTTTAAAGAATCAAATTGAACTTAGAGGGGGAGGAAGGGAGAGACAGAGAGAGCACACTGGAAATATTCAGTGTTGATCCTCTCCCTGAAATCAGAGCCTTGGATTGCATATTAAGAGAGTCAAAACACAATCTGTCACAAATTCTGCACCCAAGGGAGACCGAGAGTGCAGCAGGAAGATTTGTTTGAGTGTTTTTTTGTAGGTGAGGAAGGGGTGTTTTCACCCAAAACACTCTTTTTATGACTCTCCCAACACTGAATTACACAGGGCAGGGCTGGAGGTGCTCCGAGTCATATTTGAAGTCAAAGTCAATAAGGTGCATATCAATGACAAGACAAGCCTCTTAGCGTGGGGGAGGGGGGGGTTAGAAGGACAGACAGTTATACTGAGAGCTCGACACGTGTTGCGTCAAGGGTTAGTCATGTTAGAATACAAAAAGACACACGAAAGCCTCTACTGCACGTCGATGGTCAGAGGAGTGATATGCAAACTTATTCCGAGGTGAGTACATTCATGGACAATCTCAGACTTCAGAGTTAAATCCTGATTAGTTTTGCTGTCTAAAGTTAGGCAGCAACTGAGAACTGTTTAGTACAAGCTCGCTCAGAAAGTAGCAAAATAGTCTTAGGTTTGTTCGAGAGTATCCCTTTGAGGATGGTTAGACAACTTAACGACAAAATACTTCTTTTTGTTCACCTGCGGTCGGCAGACTTAAACAACGCGTGTAAAACAATATCAAAATGCTCTACCCTTATCGGCATGCAGAGATTTGTTTCCTGAAAAATGAATGACACACTGCCTGATTTTTTTTTAAATCTTTTTTTGTCCACGCTTCACTTTGATATCATGCAATATAGACGTGCAAAAAAGATAACATCTATTTCCACAAAATACATTTTCATTGTAACTATAAAAAGCTGTATTTAAGAATGCTATCGAGTCACATTTTTTAAATCGCATAATTACGTTATAACCTATCGCTGTATTGATTAGTCTAGCCCGAGTCGTAGTGCTGTTGCATTCTGGGAAGTGTAGTTCCCAGATGACTGGTTAACACATTGCTAACATGGCGGTCCCTCCTCTTGTGGCAGGAACAGTAAGGGCTTCAACAATCTGCATCACTGAGGCGCTTTTACTTCTTAAAAACTGTTGCGTGGACGACTCACTTCATACATCACTTATAAATATGGTTCATTTGGCACTTTTCACATTTTCTTAATATAAAAGTATGTCTCCTCTTATCTTATGAGTTTAAATCAACATATTTACCTCTGTAAAGACATATTTTGGCACAGTTTTAACTTGTTCAGGTTAGAATTATACAATTATTAACTTAGCTTATAACAGAGCTTGTATTACACTGCCACTTGAAGCTACCCTCTCCAGCTAAAGGACATATTTCGATATGTTGTATTTTTAGTACATCAGATATTATTATATAGCAGCATTTTCCACAAATGAAATGTTTTCTACTCATGTAAACCTATTCAGCATCTTATCCAAAGCTCCTACGGCAGACGGAGGGCAGAGGACAGGACGACATGTATTGCTTCCAGTACTCGTCACATTTGATCTCCCCCCTAAACTAAAGAGATTAGCCGCTGTTTAAATAACAAACCCAAAGGGATCTATCTATGGTTTAATTAATGAGATGAAAAATAAATCCGTCCAGTAATAATCAACTTAAATGGCACCTATATCAGGAATAGCAATGCCGTTTTTCCACTGTAAGCGCACTGTGCTGCATCCAATGTCATTTAGCCATGACGCAAATTGGACAACTATAAACCCGCTCTAGTTATGGTAAAGGTTGTCCACCCTTTTTCTGTAGAGGCCAATTAATCCGATTAAAGAAAAACTCTTCAAATCAGCATTAATGGTCAAAATATTATTTCAAATGAATTGAATATTTGTTCAGTCTTTTAAATGTCTGAAACTTGTGAAAATGCCTGTCCAAATTCCTTTTTCAGTCTGACCAATAATCTGAAACCCAAACATATTCGGCTTCAATGATTTGACAAATATAAAAGCAGCCAATCCTCACATTACGAAAGCTGTGATCGGTAATTTTTACTCAATAAACAACAAGTCGAGCATGATTTACCCGCTCAAAGATGGAGCAACATGCACTAAATAAACTGAAGAATAGCTTATTAACTGCATACAGCACAGTACAGCTCTACAGTGGAACAAAAGCACACTATCTATGAGTACTACCACTATCTTCATATGGTCTTATGAGGTTTTTGCCACGAAGAAACCCAACATAAATCCAGTCAAACCCCATCAATGACAGAATATTCCCTCACGATATGTGTATGTTTGTGCAGCAAGTTTTTCCAAATAAACAAAGTATTATAAACTTAAACGCACTGATCCAACAGCTAAGAGTGTTTGTTCACTGTGCCCTGCCAGCCTCAACTAGGACCTCCTCTGCAGGTGTGGTGGTGTGTTAGATCAGGGCATCTCCGGCCCCCCCGGCCCCCCGAGGAGGGAAACAGAGGAGAGACTCATTCTGTGGTGTTTGTTAGGGCAAGCAGCAGACATGCATTGATCGTAACACCAGACATAGTCACCCATGGAGCGATGTAGTAGGAGGAGAGGGGGGTGTCAGGATGGGAGTGCACTGGAGGACTGAGGACGGGTGGGAGGGAGGGTGAGGACAGAGTGGATGGTGTTAGATGGGAGTAAAGAAGCCTCCTTACCAAGCTGTGGAGATAAACCCTCACTGGCGCTCCAACAGAGAGTGACACATTCGATAGCACAGTGGAGCATTATGGGTCGGATTGGTTTCAAAAGAATCATATTTGTTTATTAACTTAGAGGAGTCGCTCCCCTCACCGGGCTGTTCAATAGATCAAATGCACCCCCTCCTCATTTTTTGGCATTTTTACATTCCGTCACACTCCTATTAGGCTTAGATTGGCCCATTGGATGTACAGTACATTATCAATTTTTATGAAAAAGACAGCGATAGAAAAGTGAATTTATAATTTGTTCCAGTCTCTTTAATCTGCTGCTGGACACCTAACACTCCCCCAACATCCCACCCTCGGATTACAAAACAATTTTCCAGGACAACAGGTGGGTAGACTCTAATTGATCTCAAACTCGTGACCCCAATTGATTGATCCTCTTCATCGACCTAGTCTCTTTCTCCTCCTTCAGTATTCAGATACATTTCTGGTGAAGTTCTTCATATGCATTCTACATATATTTCATATATGTGTGGTTTTTTTCCCCTGCCATACAAAAAACCATCCAATCGCGATGCCGTCTACAGCACACATCCCTGACCTCATAGGCAGAGAGAACCGATCCCTCGCTTCACAGTGCATTAAGACAAAAATTCAGTGTACTCCGATTTGTAAAAAACAATATATATAACACAACACAAACCAAAAAACCAAAAAAATAAACAACAGCATCTTCAGCAGTCTTCTGGGTCTACAGTGGGCAGTTGCCACGGGAAACCTGCAGTTTGCCAGAGGCAGAAACAACTCCCTGGACGTGTGTTGGAAATCATGTCTGCCCTTCATATGCAGTCGGACGGTCGCTTGATAAGAGATCAGTGAGGCTATTTATCTCCTTTACTGATGTGCATGCTGTCTTAAAATAGCAAATCTGGGAGTGAGACGAGCAGAATCTGCAGTGGACCCCGGATGAACAGTCCCCATGTTTCAGTGTTTCCTTTTCTCAATGTCTCAGTAGTACGTTGTGAGTCTTAAGTGCTCTTGCTTGGACCGGGTTTGGGTTTGGAAGACCACAGGCTGAGCAGTCGCAGCTCATCTGAGAACCCAATTATTCATTTTGGTTACAATTTAACATTTTAGGCCCATTTTTACAGGGCGTTTTACTACAGATTTAGAACATAGGGGATATTTTGGAGCATGGGGAGGATGGCCAAGCATGGCGACGAGGCGTTTGAGGTATAGCTGCGTAGATCTGCACTGCAGCCTGTGGTGTGATTACAGATATTTTCTTGCTAATCTAGAGGTCTCACTGCAGTCTGCATCATAGATATGGTGAATTCCCTTTTCTAGCACCAAATGTGGCATTAGTGTTTTGTTTCAGTGTGTACATGTGTGCATGTGTGTGCGCATTCCCTGTTCTGCTCTTAGACTGGATATATAAGGTAATCCTTCACTGTAATGATATTAATGCCTGGGGCGGCTCTCTTACTGGACTTAAATAAGACATATATTACACTTTGTGACATTACTATTCATATTCAATTCATTTAAATTAAAACAAAAAAATAGTCTCATTTACATTCATGTCAACCTGAATTCACAGATAAAAAAACGAAACAACTGAGCTTTTTATGGGTGAACTCATCAATAAATAATGACGATGGTGAGGATTCGTATAATCGTGACAATATCAGATAATAACAGAATCATCAAAGCAGACTGCAAATTAAAACGCCATAGATCCTGTGTGTTTGCCGCAGCTTGCACAGTATCACTCTCGTCGGTTTCGCACTACGTGAGGTCATCAACGTGCGCCTCGGTATTCTATCTCAAACACTAGAGCTGAGTACGGGGGGGGGTGGGCTGCACTGCTCGTAGGATACATCACAGGGTATACAGAGGGTGGTGTGCAAACGAAGAAACGCCCAGCTCATTCTCTCCGCCCCTCACCCCTTCCCGAGTTCACCTCACCCTTCCTTCATCTCCCAGAAAGAGGGGAGGAGGGGGGAGTTGAGATCATACGACGGGGGAGAGAATAAATGGGGTTACGGGGGGATTTGACGACGTTTCTTTTTTCGCACACCAGGCTTAAGTTTGCAGTCTTGCTCATTATAAAAACCCTTGTAAAAAGGGGGGGAGGGGGTGAGGGGAAGGCAAGGCTGTGGGCAAGTAGTGAGAGAGGCTTCGGGGGGAGGCGGGGCGGAGGGGCGAATCAAAACTAGAAGAAAAACAAAAACCCTACAGGAGGGTGACCGGTGTGGGCTTCAGGGGAAGGGAGGGGTTAGGGTTACTTCCATAAGGGATTTTGGGTTGTACCCTGTAAACGCAAACCCTCCCCCCTGTGAGCCCATTCCCTTCCCTTCCTCCCCCTACTTCCTGTCGCCTCTCAGGCAGTCGGCCTGTCTTCATGGCATTCAGCTCTGTCCACACAATACACAAACGAACAAACAGACAGCTTAATTTACTAATCAAAACAATAAAACAAAACAATAAAAAATCCCGAAAGGTCAAGACGTTAAGTAATAAAACCTTATTTACACATTTAGTTACACATTTTTTTCTTGGTTTTTCAGCGTGATAACTCGCTCCATTCCCTCCTCGTCTTCTCAGCACATTTTTGCTTTGCGTCAACATTTCTTTTTTTATAGAGAATACTGAAAACGGGCAGAAGAAAACGGCGCAGACGATTCCTTCTGACATTCTTGCTCTCCTCTCCTTTTTCCATTCTCACTTTCAATTTTTTATACTCCTCCCCCAAGCCCCCACTCTTTTTTTCCGCTCTTTTCCTCCTCGTTTCTCATTGGCTGTCAGGTTTAGCCCACCTTCTGTGGGTTGGTGGCACGTACCCCCTGCTCGTAGGTGATTCGCTGGCTGATCAGGTACTGTGCAGCCTGCGTGGCGGCCTGAGACCCTGTGATGGTCACCTTCCTGTTCCGAGTTCCAGGGATGAACTCGCCTTTCTTGGAGATCTGGATCCTGGCGCCGGTCAGCTCCTGGTACTCCACTAGCGTCTTCCCTCCTTTCCCCAAGATGGCTCCCACCAGGTTTTCTGGCACGGCAATCTCCACCACTTCCTTTGCTCCTTCTCCCAGCTTCTCCTGGGCCAGTAGAGATGACCCCAACAGGGGCGACGCGGCGCTCAAGTAGCCATTGGTGGCTCCTGCAGCAGCCAAGGATCCCAGAGAGAAGCCCCCGAGACTCGCTGCTTGGTGAACGCTGGTGGATGCATCACTGGCATAGGATGCTAACAAATTAGCTGCGGCGGCTGCTGCTGGGTTAGCATTAGCTGCTACCGCTGCTAACACTCCTGAGGCTGCCGCGGGATTCAGACCCAAGCCCAGGGAGTTGGTGTTGTAGCCGTAGCTGGCCAGGGTGTTGAGGGCGGATGTGATGGCCAGCAGGTCGTTGCCTGAGAAGCTGGACATGGTGGTGGGGAAGGCCCCGACCCCGGCCAAGCTAGCCTGGCCGAGCAGAGAAGAAGCGGCGGATGCTGCAGCGGCGGCCGCGGACGGCATCACCTCGGTGGAGTTGGCGTACGGGGAGCCGGTGGGGTTGGAGTTGGCGACAGGGCCTGTGATGTTGGAGTAGGAGATGTTGAGGCAGGAGGAGCTCTGTGGGTCCTCCTGGATCTTCTGGACGATGATCTCCACGGCTTTGCGGTTCTGCTCGGGCTCCCCACTGATGGTGACCACCCGTTCCTGCAGGTTGATGCCCTCGGGTTTCTGGGATAGCTGGACCCACGCCCCGGACTGCTCCATCACCGCCTTCACTGTCGCTCCACCTTTACCGATGATCAGCCCCGCCGTGCTGTTAGGGACGATCAGCTTGGCCTGGGAGGGAGAAGGAAACATGTTTGGTTATTGCTTGAAGGCTATTGATCAGCATATTCAATTGACTAAATCAAGGAAAGTTAGTGTAATGAGAAAATGATTTTAAATGAGTCTTCGTGTGTGTGTGTGTGTGTGTGTGTGTGTGTGTGTGTGTTCATGGATTGGTTTGCCTGCATGGCAATTATTAATGTTGTTGTTTATCGTACCATTACAC